TAATTTTTGAGGCTTCCAATAAGAGCCCAACACCATGATGTTGGCCACATAAACCCAGGGGAGGAAAACCCAACCCGTTCCCAATAAATGTGGGCCGTTCTCACCCACATAGTTTGTAATGAATTGTCAGGATAATGATAGAAAACATACAAGCTAGACTGCTGAGCTCGCTCAGAGGGCAAATTGCTTGCTGCCAAGCCTGATGACCCAAGTAAGACTCCCAAGACCCACGTGGTGGAAGAAGAGAAGTAACCCTCTCAGGCTGCCCTCCGATCTCCACACCTGTGTTGTGGAATGTTCTCCACACCTGTGCTGTGGTATGTTCTCCACCCCTGTGCTGTGGTATGTGCACATTCATGTGTGCATGTGGTCACACACACAACTGAATAAGTCATAGTAAAAAAATTGAAAAGGAACGGAATAAGCCCACAGTATCCCAGCATTGCAAATCACATCAGACTGAGGCCCAAGTCCCTGTTATTTGCTGTGGGTGACTTTCTCTGGCCACAGACCCCCACCTGGAATGCAGGAGAGTTAACCAGGCCTCCCCAGGATTGTCTTTCAGCCAGCAGTTGATGAATGGTAGATACACATTTTGAGGTTTTCTCGTACAACTGAGCTCTGACTGTACCAAGTAGTAAACCCTTCTTGTTAGAGTCTTTCCTTCCTGTCTCTCTTCTTTACTGCGCTGTGTGGTTTCTTGGGATTATCTCACAAATAAGTAACTTACACCAACCATGTTAGGACTCAGGCTCTTCATAAACATCCTAGCCAATGATGCTAGCCCACGGTGCCAGGGTGGGAGAAAGCCGCAGGACCATTTACTTGTGTTAAAACAAAAGCGTACTTTCCATGTGAGAACTCTGAGCTAGTATGACTTTACCAAAAGAATAAAAGCTTCAGGGTGTTGCAGATGTGGATTCAAGCCCAAGTTCTGCCTGTTAGTAACTGAAACAAAAACAAAAGCAGATAAGTTTTTTAATTTCTCTGGGTCTCTGTTGGATCTTCTGTGAGATGGGTTTAATGTATTCCTTTCATGTCATAAGTATAAAGCAATATATGTAAAGCAGTGGCCAACAGTAGTTACTCATTAATGATGTATCTAAATAGTCACTGTTGGCAAATGTTATGGGTTCCATGACTGATATGAGTGTAAGGAGATCTAGAAACTTCAAGTGTGTTCCTACTTCTCTCAAATCACCTATTTTTAATTTAGAGGAAAAATGACCTCCCCGACCATTTGGTATCATTTTATGCTATTTGGAACTGCTAAATTGTCTTCCTGATAATAATTAAAAAATCAAAGTTATATTTTCAAGCATCAGCAGGCTAAGGTTTGTCTACTGGGAAGGACTGAGAGCAAATCTAAGAATAGTTCCTTAGGAAAAAATCTAACGTTTAAAATAAACTGCACAAATGGCCAAACAAAAAACAAACTGGGGCTTTTCTCCCATCCTGAGCATTCTCTTGCCCTTGTTAGCATCAGACCCCAGGCAGCCTGGCTACACTCAGGAAAAGTTCAGCTAATTAACCAACCCAGCCCCATTTGCTTCTTCCGCTTGGGAATTCACCAGGGTTGGCTCACTTAGAAGATATTCTCATTAGTTATTCCTTAAATCCCCAAACAGAAAGTTCGGAAGCTGGGAGATAAGGCACTGCCAAGCAGGAAGCAAAGTCACGGCAAGCTAGAAACAAAGCCATGCCAAGCAGGAAGCAAAACCATGTTAAGTCTCTCATCATTGTGGAAGGTCCAGGAGTGGGGTGAGAGACTGCAGAATGCTCCTGAACCCGAGGGGAATATAAATAAAGCAAGTGAATGCATACACAGACTTTTACACACAAACACACACACTTATTTCTTCTTTGGTAATAAATAAGCCATCTACTCCCCATGTGTAAGAATTCAAAATGGGAGCTCATGTTAAACACCCTTTCTATTTGCTCAGCACCATCACAAAGCCAATCATCCCTGTACCTCAACTTTCCAGTTTGGCAAGAATTCTGATATCTAAGGATGTGCTTTCTTTTGTCTGATTTTGGTGGACATTTTGTTTGTTCGGTTTTGTTTTTGCTTTAAGACAAGCTCCTGTGTAACACGAGCTGCCCTCAAACTCACTATGTAGCTATCTATGGCTGGCCTTGAACTCCTGATCCTTCTTGCCTCCACTTTCCAAGTTCTACAGCTGTTTACCACAACATCCAGTTGTGTATACGCGTATGTGGGGGATCCTCATGTTCTTTCTCTTAGAGTCCTTGAACTTACAATGCAGCCCAAACAGACCTTGAGTTGACAGTCCCCCTGCCTCAGCACACTGAGCTCTGGGATTTCAAGCTTGTGGCACCACATCCAGCTAAGGTCCATTTTACTGAGCTGTTCAGGGGACTCTTCTCCACTTCTTCCCATGGGTGTGAGGAGCAGAGTGGGCAGCACTGCTCCTACCTTAGCTGCTTGTCTGAAGGCATTGACAAATCCCAAGGGAATTATAGGGAAATGAATTGAGAGGTAGCCAGACCAATTTGACATCAAATGTACTTATGTTTCAATCAAACAAGGAATGCCCCTCTATGATGTTGTGGCACAAGGCTATTAGCCTTTTTGTATCATTTGGCTGTGGAAAAGAAGTGTTTGCCTGGTTTAAATAAGACTGGCTCTTCACTAGAATTTTCTTCCGCTACCCATGTCTTATAACAATAATTTAGATGTCCTCAAAGTAGGAATTTGGAGGTACTGAGGCTTTTTAAAATCCCAAAATAAGAGATAAAACAAGCCTTTTCCAGAGGTAGGAGAAGGGGGAGCTGCACTCCAGATGGCAGGAGGGGAAGCCACTGCCTGTGCTTCCCAGTTACACTCAGCAGTGATATGCATGAATTGACGTATCTATAGAGGATTTTGGTTGTTTGGTCATACATGGTTCTGGCCAGGGTTACATTCCACCTTCCTCCACAATCTGCCTTCTTTACGGGATGGTCTTGATTAGAGCTCTAACTTTTGTCTCTGTGACCCCACATCCCCTGGTGGACCCTCATTCTCTCTGGAGTACTGAAGTGGTTAAAATCCTCCATGTGAAGGGTGTGGAAGGAAAGTGCTAAAGAAGCAGGGATTTGTGGTACCTGGGGAGCAGCCTAAGGAGTGCCTGTGTGTGCATCCTCTTCTTTCCTTCAGTGGATCACCTCCGTGTAGGGCATTCCTTCTTCCAAGGTTGAGATCCTCAAGGGTCTATACCAGCCTAGGTTGAGAACGGAGCAGCTCAAAACTAACTGGCTACATCTTCAGAGTTTGGGAGACTTTGTGCAGACTGATGCGCCACTAAGCAGCTTGTTTCTCATGAAATTTGTATTGCTTGAAGGGAATTAATAGTCAAAATCCCAACCATTTACGTCTCACCTAGTGTCCCTTTCCACAACCCAGCAAAAGTGTTTGCCTCTCAGCATCGCCGGCTGAATCAGATGATGCTACTACAGAAGGCTGACTAGCCCCTCACCCCCACACCCCGGGCTTCCCCAGGACGTCTGTTTATGGCTTCTCTAGCAACCCAAGCAAGAAGAGCAGCTCCAGCAGCTCCCAGTGCCCACCCTCAGGATTTTCAGGCTCAGTCTCAGGGGCAAGACATAGGAAACGTCCTGGGACAATGCAGGGAGGTAGGGTGAGTGGGTTTCAAATAATACACCTCTCACTACATTTATGTGTATCTTTAGACATAATATATAGAAAACCTCCTTTATATGAAGCCCCCTTTATTGACAAATCTCTGTTTACGACTAGTTTGCAAGGTAAATTTTATTTTAAGATTTAAGTCAATGCATATGATTTTTTTTTTCCATTTCGAGATGGTGTCTCACACTTGTAATCACGGCTGGAACACAGGTTTGCCTCCAACCTCCATGTCAGCCTCCCAAATGCTAGGCTGATTGGCAGATGTCACACTTGCTTGACTACACTTTTTAAAAAATATTAGACACATATTTGCCATTCATAAGTAGATATATGGACAGATTATGTATGAACACAACTTTTAAAAAATTGTTTTTATACTTTATTGTTTTTAACTCAGCTATACATTTTCCTCACTCCTTTTCCTTGCTCTCCTCTCTCCTTCTGCCCTCACCCCTGTCCCCCATGCTCCCAATTTACTCAGGAGATCTTTTCTTTTTCTCCTTCCTAGGCATATTCATGTATTTCTCTCTTAGGGTTTTCTTTGTTTGTTAGGTTTTAGATTTAATCTTACCAAAAATCTAAGTAAGCAGTATGTGGGATTACTTTTCTTTTCTTTTCTTTTTGTAACCTGCTTGTACAAGGTGCTTTTTTTTCCCCTTTTTTTGTGGGGTTACATTTCTACAAATGGTGACCAATAACAGCCATATTTAGCTAAATAAAATGAAATGAAGGATTGAGATAGTGACTGTATCTAGAAAAATGCAAGATGGCAGGAAGGTCGCAGGGGTAAGTTTATACATCCCACTTAACCCTATTTTGTAGAAAGAAGGCATTATTTAGAATAGATGAGTGAAGCTTCTTTTGTAACTTCATCATAACTGTGAGGATATGTGTGAGAATAACTATGTGAGAAAACACATATACTTCACGAATCTCTCCGCTCCGCATGTGGGCTGAGGCAGCAGGCGAATGAAGAGAAAGTGACTGCTGATGCACTAATGATGGCTAAGCATGAGAAAATGAGAGTGGCGGATCATGAGTAATATTTATAGCTTATGTTCATGAAACTAATTCTACACACGAGTGAAAACAGTAACTAGGCCTTATGACACAGGAATTAAATCACACATTTGCATCACACTTAATAAAATTGCATACAAATTATAAGTGCCTAGAACAAGGATTAGCTTGGAGTTTCCAACATCACTATTAAAGTTTTTTTTTTTTTTTTTTTTTTTAGTTGCAGTAAATATTTCCAGAAAGCGTTTTGGATGTGGTTGAGGATTTCCTCTTTAACAGAGTTTCATAGTAATGTTCTGTGATTCACAGGAAGCCAGAGATCTCCTATAAAGAGGCTCCAGCAGAAGCAATACTCAGTGGTCCTTGGCTGACTACACCTCAAAACTGCTAGAAGAGCGGAGGGACGGAAGCAGCAGCAACACACCTGAGAAATCCAACACCCCAGCGACCATTCCACGAAAGGTAAGTGCAGCTTCCAAGCCAGAGGAGCCTTGGACCTAAAGCATAGATTTATATGTGTGTGCACATATGCAAAAAAAAAAAACCTCTGATAAAGAGATCTGTCTAAGCTGTTAGAGCATTGTCATTAAAATCTGCCTTTTCTCTTTGCTTAAAATGATGAAAATCTTCAAGTTTGCATCTGTCTACTATGGGAAATGTCTCTGCAACAAGTAATGATGTACAGGAATCCTTGCCTAAAACCTCATGGTGTCCCCTTAAATACTATGACAGAAGGGTGTGAGTAACCCAAACCTAGAATTTCCTTATGTGACTAATTCTGCACTTTCTCTCCTCAGAAGAGTATTTCCAGTCCTGTCTCTGGGTGAGAGGAATCACTGGAGCCATGAATGCCTCACGGTTTCTCTCCACTCTCACTTTTGGTAAGCTGGTGTCATCGGAGACCAGAGTCTCTGATCTTCACTCTCCTGGGTCTTCAGAACAGGGTATCTTGTTGTGTGGGGCTTCTCTATGCTTTGCAGTGGGGTTAGCAGGACTACTGACCTCCTCCTGTAGGGCCCTGCCCTCTGATAGGAATAGTTAGTTTCTTTACATGGAAAGGATGGATCCTAGGTGACCTATCCAGGCATTGTGAAGATTCATCCATTTGGTTCCTGAAATGGGGCCTCAAATAGGGGTGTCATAGCAGACAACAAAGCTTTGTTTTCTGTGACATTGCAGTGGTCTGTTTAGTTGGAGTATTACATTCTGATAAAGCACACAGTGATATACAGACATGCGACACCCCACAGATGGGCCTCTTTTTACTTTTAAAAGTCATAGTTTGGGCCATCACAAAGACCCCTATACGCCAAAAATAAGACAACATAAAGCAGGACTAAATTTTCTATTTCTTTCTTGACCCAACCCAGTGCTTCTCATTGGAGAGAGCATAGCCTGGTATTACAATGCCTCCATCGAACTCATGACATATGATGAAGCCAGTGCGTATTGTCAACAGAAGTACACACATCTGGTGGCAATTCAGAACAAAGAAGAGATCAACTACCTCAACTCCAATCTGAGATTTTCACCAAGTTATTACTGGATTGGAATCAGAAAAGTCAATAACGTATGGATCTGGGTGGGGACCCAGAAGCCTCTGACCGAGGAGGCTAAGAACTGGGCACCCGGTGAACCCAACAACAAGCAGAAGAATGAGGACTGTGTAGAAATCTACATCAAAAGACGCAATGACCCGGGCATGTGGAATGACGAGAGATGTGACAAAAAGAAACTGGCTCTGTGCTACACAGGTATGGTGCTTCTGAATGGCGAAAGGGTGTTTCTACGTGGAGGCAGCTTGGCATATTTAGAGGATGCAAACTAATTGGTGCATATTTTCTGTTTTTAAAGAGATTGCTGTAAAACAGTCCAACAATAATGATATCAATATATTTATTTTATTGATTGGTGTGAGTAAAGGCAAGAATGTTTGGGTGTATGTATATGAACATACATGTATACATCTATATGTATATATATTTAGTTCTATATATATACAGAGTATACATACTCAGATACAGTACATGCCTTTAGCATGAAACTACAGAGATGTTGTGAATTAATTTTTCTTGCTTGGTGCCAAGCACAGCTATTCTGCTGACGTCCATTTATTATCATCAAGTTATACATAGCCTGGAACTGGAATCATATGTGTCAGTATAAATCTTGAGCATTAATGTCATTAGCGTTATCTGGATTGCACAGATTATAGACTAAAACCAGACAAACGCAAATAAAAATGCATGATAAGCACCATACTAATTGATCGTCCTCATCTGTTTCGTGCTTTCTGTAGCTTCCTGCACTCCTGCATCCTGCAGAGGCCGTGGTGAATGTGTAGAGACCATCAACAATTACACCTGCCAGTGCCACCCTGGCTTCCTCGGACCCAGCTGTGAGCAAGGTAAGTCTTGTCCTCACCTGTTCCTTTTCCAAAGCTGGGAACTCCCTCCCGTGGTTCAGGTGGCTTGTCCGTCAGGGCCACGTGTTTTCTCCACCTGAATACACAGAATAAGAGCATTGTAGTAACTGAGACTATCAAGTCAGACCCTCCTGGGTCAAACTCCAGACTTACTACTTATTACTTATTAGTTCTTACCCAACTTACAACTCTTTTGTTATTTCACTTAGTAAGATGTATTCTCTTTATGAGTTGTGTGGGCAATCTGGTACCTGTTTGGTTTAACATGGCTTTTTTTTTTTTTTTTGGAAATGGGTGTTTCTGAGGCTCTGGTGACATGGTCTAGACAGCTGCAAGGCTTTCTCGTGGACTTGTTCAACTCTTCCGTGCAATGAGACCAACTTTAGCACTGTGTTGATCAGGAAGCTTCACTGTCTCTTTGCGCAATTCTCTGGTCCCATTACGGAGATTCATTGCTCAGCTCCTTCGAGTGTTCATACTGCTTTTACACCAAGCCATGAATCTTAATCTAGAGGCTGCTATTTTTGTTGTTGTTATTTACATATGTAGTAAAAAAGATCAGAGATCATCCAGTATAGTCAAAGCAAAAATTAATAAGAGAAGATAAAATATGACTAAAGACTAAAACATTTGTTATGGGTTTATCTATATGTTATCAATAATTGTTATCAAGAATATGTTATCAAGAGTTTGGATTTTGCTGGGTGGTGGTGGTAGATGCCTTTAATCCAAGCACTTGGGAGACAGGGACAGGCAGATCTCTGTGAGTTCGAGGTCAGCCTGGTCTACAGAGCTAGTTCCAGGACAGGCTTTAAAGCTACAGAAAAACCTTGTCTTGAAAAAGCAAAACAAGCAAACAAACAAACAAGCAAAAAACCAGTATGGATTTCACCCTTTGAAGATGATTATCACCTTCTTTTATAAACCTTACTTCCACAGAAGATGAAAACATCTATGGAATTTTCTTTGTGTAGAACTCTCTCTTCTCCTTCATCCCCTCAGTGATTGAATGTGAAGCTTTGTCACACCCTGCCAATGGAGTCAGGAAATGTTCCCCAAATCCTGGGCGCTTCCCATGGAACACGACCTGTGCATTTGCCTGTGATGAAGGGTACAGGCGAGTTGGTGTCCAGAGTCTGCAGTGTACCTCCTCCGGCGTCTGGGACAACGAGAAGCCGTCGTGCAAAGGTAGAGTTCTTCGGTGTGGCGATTCATCATGTTCTCTTCTTCAGCAAAGACTTGAAATGGACAAACCCTGCTTACTAATTTGAATGGGGTGCTTGCGTTTCAGCTGTGACCTGTGATGCCATCCCTCAGCCCCAGCATGGCTCTGTGAGCTGCAGTAACTCAACAGTTGGAGGACTGGCCTTTAAGTCATCCTGCAACTTCACCTGTGACCAAAGTTACACGTTGGAGGGGCCGGCCCAGGTTGAATGCAGTGTAGAAGGGCAGTGGACACCACAAATTCCAGTGTGCAAAGGTGAGAAGTAAACTGTGTCTTCTAATAATTTCATTTCTAAAACATCCATCATCTTCTGTCTTGAGCACTGACAATGACGTCAGGTGTCCGCTGTAACTATAGATACCAATTATGAGGGCAATAGCAATACCTTTGAGATTGATTTTTTTTTTAAAAAAAGAATGCACAGCAGGAAAGCAGCATTGTAGACAAATAACATATGGATTTTTGTTTGTTTCTAAACTAGGATATACTAATAATACTAATGTGTTAGCATTGGTCTAATAGAGTAAGGAGAATGTAAGAGAAATCCTATTTAAAACGTAAAGTGCAGAACAATGAAAGTACTGCTTGAACCTCTCACTTTTATCACACACCTCTAAAATCCACAGCTAGCAGCAAGGACAAGGCCCCCAGCTTGATGTTTGTCACCTACAAGGGTTGTTTTGATACAGACATAAAAGCAATAAAATTTAATTCGCTTTCCAGCAAGGGCAAGAATGTTCAAAAGACACAGCTTTCTTTATCCAGTGCAGACATCCTCAGAGACAAATTTAGTATTGAGTGAGTTCCAGGAGCAAAAGGCCACAGCACCAAACTCATGCTAAGAGCAGGCAAATTCTGCAGGGAAGGCTTCTTCTTTTCCTTTTTGACACCACAGGGAAGTCTTCAGGACCTGATGTGAGACCCTTTACCCTCCCTCTGCACATCAGCGCAGTGTGGAGGCACCATATTCTTGCTAATGGTTGCCCCATATTAGTTGTCATTGTCATGGAGATGTTGGGTAATGGTGGAAATGCAGTCACCTTCCCAGAAATTTGTGATGAAGAATTGTCTTGAGTTCTCTGAGCAAAGCTTTGTGGTACTTGAACTTGGTCATCAAACGATGTAAGGTCTCCAGTATCCCCATGGTATTTTCTCACCCTTTCTCTGATGTCTCAGCTTTCCAGTGTAAAGCCTTATCCAGGCCACCACGGGGCTCCATGAAATGTCTTCCCAGTGCTTCTGGACCTTTCCACAATGGATCCAGTTGTGAGTTCTCCTGTGATCAAGGATTTGAACTGAAGGGATCAAAAAGGCTTCAGTGTGGCCCAGGAGGGGAGTGGGACAGCAAAGAGCCCACATGTTCAGGTGCATTCTCTTTAGAAATTCTCTTTCTCTCTCTCCCGCCCTTCTTCCCTCCCTCCCCTCTCTCTCTACCGCAATTTCCATGTGTGGAGATCAGAGGCCAACTTGCAGAAGTCGATTTTCTCCTTATGTATGGGTCCCAGAAATGAAATTCAGGTTGTGGGGACTGGCGGCAGTGCCTTTCCCCGTCGAGCCATCTTGCTGGCCCCCTGCCACATACTTTGAATTTCGCTGCAAGATAGAGGCTACTGAACATCTTTGTGGCTTGGTTACCCTAAGACTCCTATGATAGTTCAATGCTTACACCTCTGCATGGCTCCTCTCTTCCAGCTGTGAAATGTGATGCTCCCCCTCAGCCCCAGAACGGTTTAATGGAGTGTGCTCATGCTACTACTGGAAACTTCACCTACAAGTCCATGTGTAGCTTTCAGTGCAACAAAGGCTTCAAATTACATGGATCAGCTCAACTTGAGTGCACATCCCAGGGACAGTGGGCCCAGGAGGTGCCATCCTGCCAAGGTACTATTGAGTTCAGACTCTCGGGACACACATCAGGTGAGCCGTTCTGTGGTGAGGTTTTCTGATTCCTACCATGGATATGTCATTTGCAGTGGCAGAGTGCCCAAGCCTTGAAGTGCCAGGAAAGGTGAACGTGAGCTGCAGTGGGACGATCCTTTCCGGCACCGTATGTGAATTTACGTGTCCTGATGGATGGACACTCAATGGATCTGCAGTTCTGACATGTGGTGACACGGGATACTGGTCTGGGATGCTGCCTACCTGTGAAGGTGATGCATTGATTGGTGGTAGTTGCCTGGGGGAGAAGGTTGCAGAAGGGGTGTTATGTTGCTTATGAGGCTAACTGTCCTTTATGTCAGAATGGTAGGTTATAGGGACGGATAGAAAGAAAGCAGAAAAAGATGCATGTCATTGGACCCGGTGGGATGTTTTGTTCTCATCCGCACCCCAGTTCCCTCTCAAATCCTTTCCTCTCTCTCTCTCCACTATCACAGTTTGTTTCCACTGCCCCTCCCTTTGACTCCTGTTAGTTATCTTTCTGCTAACTCATAGTGGGATTCTGATCACTGAAAAGGGGAGATCTAGAGACTGAAGGGGGAAATAAGAGGCACACGACAAAAGGCAAGGATAGCAGTTTAGCATTGACCGAGGTGTTGTGTTATAGTGTCAAAGCTTGACGAGGCTGTGTTCTGCCTGGAAACGCCGGGACACAGCTTCTGTGGTAGTTTGGGAGGAATTCTTTACATCTTCAACGCCAAGTCTACGTGGTTCTGTTGGTGGTCATGAATACGCAGAGGAATGGCCAAATGGACAGGCCAGAATGCCTCTAAAGTCAATAGTCGCTTACGCTGTTCCCTGTGACTTGTTTCCTCAGCCCCCACAGATGCCACCCAGCCCTTGGTAGTTGCACTTTCTACAGCAGGAACCTCGCTCCTGGCATCATCTTCATTCCTCTACTTGTTGCTGAGATACTTTCGAAAGAAAGGTAAGTTCAGGCATCCACTTGAGAAATGATGCTGAAAAGTGTGTGTGTGTGTGTGTGTGTGTGTGTGTGTGTGTGTTTATCACTTATGAGCTATGGTCTCTTGAAACTTTTCACTAGAATCTAGAAAGTAGAACCTACTTGTGAAATAGCCCCAGCAAATGCCAGTGTAATCAAGGTTTCATGATACGATTTCTTCTTACTCAACTCAGTGTTGAAAGTGTTAGGAAACCTATGTTGGCTGTACTAATACTGATTAACTCTAGGGGGCACTACTCACTTCAAATTCCACAGTGTCCATGGAGCTGCTCACTGAGAATTATGGAGTTACACTATGATTCTCTTGGGAGAATATGTGAAATGATTTCAAGTGACAGAGAAAATTGCTTGGAATAGCCTAAATAGGAAATACAATACCCATGGTGCCTTTGGTCCACAGACTATTTAAATGCTTCTAATTAAAATCTGATATTTCGACATTAGGAAATTTTATGTAAAAGTATGGATTTTCTACTTCTCATGAGAGTTTGAAAGAAGAATCAGACCAGCTGAGCAAGTTCCCTGGCGTCAGGAAGCTGCTCTGTTCTTCGGGCGTTTTATCCTCTGCATTTTACCTTAGTTGCCACCAAATGTCTGTCACAGAGTGCATGGTACTGAGTATAAACCCAGACGAGAGAAGTACGTCAGTCTAATTTGCTTAACCATCCTTGGTCCAAATTAATTCTTTCATTTCTCTTGCAGCGAAGAAATTTGTTCCTGCTAGGTAAGGTGAATTCTCGTGTAAAGCATGCCATTTAATACTGCATCATTTTTTTCTCTTCATGTGGGAAGGCCGGGCTTGATGTTTTGTTTTGTTTTTTCTTGTTTCCACAGCAGCTGGCAAAGCCTTCAGCCGTGTGGCAATTATCAAGTACCTGCTCACATCATCTAAGTTCACAACCATCAGGTACGGCTTGGGCAGACTGTGCGAAGGAGAGAAAAATCCCCTTTTCAAATGGTGTCCCTCGCTGGCACCCTCGAGCCTGCCATTGGCTAGAGGAAATCCCCATCTTCATGGCAGTTCCTAGAAAGTTGTTTGGTTTCTTTGTGGAAGGAGGGGGAGGCCCAGAGTTCTGTCTTCCTTGGATCATTTTACTTGTGAATGATAATGGTGGTGGTGGTGGTGAATGCTAGCTCCATTCATCAATTCGGTGCTTAAGCATGGATCTAAGCTGGGGACGCTGAGAATCTGGCACTGTCCCCTTGTTCCTCTGAGATGAAGAAAATGAAGCATAATCTTTATGGGAACTTGTCTGAGTTTCCAAAGCTCCTGTGCAGTGTAGCTAGGATTCAAACCCCAGGGCTTGTGTGCTGAGTCTGGAAATCTGTGCTCCTCAATAGCTGCATTGCTTCTGGGAGTATAGCTGGAAGGTCAAGACTTTTTAAATGAACTTTTCTTAATGAGTAGAATTTGTGGTGTAGTTTGGGGCTTAGGGAAAAAAAATGAACAGAAAATAGATGTTTCAATTTGCTTCTTCAGCCCCCTTATTTTCCTTATTATTGGCATCTTTCATCATAGTTCTTAAGGAGAAACAACATAGTGAACTACTATTACTTAAAGCCCACAGTGGACCATTCAGGGTTCATTCTCTAGTTTGTACACTCCATAGATTTAACAGTTATAAATGACTGATGTCCCCATTACAGTATCATAGACTAGTTTCATTATTGTAACTCAGTGACATTGGGAGTTCATATCTGAGCCATTCCCAAGAGACAGCCTGCCTAAAAGATGAATTTTGTTGTTGCTTTCAGCATGCAGGATATTTGGAAGTCTTTCACAGTTGCTTATTTTTGCAGGAACACAGATGCATTCTGGGAAATAGAATGATATGCCGAAGACAGCAGAAAATGAGCTGCCCGTGGGACCCTGGTCTCTCTTGTCTGCTTAATAACTAGGATCCTGACTCTGTGGTTCAAAGTTCAGTGACAAGGCCAGCCCTCCACCAGAGAGACTCTGTTTCCTCTTTCCTAGCCACAGAACCAAGGACTTGCTGGCCACAGAAGGTTTCGGGTATGCTCTTCAAAAGATAGTGAAGGCACCAAGGCCCTGGAACAGCAGAATTCTAAATTTGTCACTCTGGAATTTGGGAAGAGAAACAGCAGTTTGTGGCTTTGTTTCTTTCTCATGTTCCCCATACAGTGTTTCGATTGTTAATGCCATTATTAATGGGATAATGTTATTAACGGGTAAATAATATTTGTCAGCAGTTATGAGCAAATAATTTTCTGCAAAAAGGCAAAACTGTCATAGCTTCAGGCTGTGGCACGTGAGTGTTGTCAGAGGTACCTGAGTGCTGAGTGCTGTTAGCTCTGCTAGGCAGGCTTACCGGATTTATCCCCATGGGATGCAATGGCCTCTGAAATGTTCTCAGACATTGTGCTCTGCGTCCTTGCGTTGAATCTACCATGTTGTTCACCGTTCTTATTTCAGTGCAAGGGTCATAAGGACTTGAAAAAAAAATCAGAAATTCTGTTTCCTATGACAAGGAAAAAGTTATCTTAATTCATTTTTTATTGGCAAACTCTAATGTTTTGTCTGTAGTAAACTTATCTTCAGATGAGGAATTACTGATCAGTGTTAATTCCCGAGAATTAAACTGCAGCTGGTTTTAAGACATGGTACTACCAGAAGAATAGAAGTTGAAGAGAGAATTTGCATGCTTGGGGGATTTTTTTTTAACCCCTAAAATGTGTTTTTTCTTTTGAAAAGAAAGAACTTCCTTGAGGCCAAATGTTCTGATTTAATAGAAGTGTAAATGCTAAAAGTGGAGGTGCATTGGAAAGTGTTTGTTTGAAATCTCATCTAAGCATAAGTATGCTTTGCATTCCTATAAGGGAGGTTCTTATGTCGGCAAATAGTTACCAGATTCTTGTATATTGTATCCAATTCTAAATCCATGATGAGGGTTCACCACGTAATAGATCCGGGCAGTAGATTGTCAAGAAGTAAAAGTGTCTAACAGTTATTCTGTAGTTGTCTTATTCTCTGTGCTCTTATGTTCGAGAAGAGGGGAAGCTTGTGTACACAATGATTATGCTGTCTTACAGAGATTAAAATTCCTAAGGAGTTTCACCTGTAGTTGGCAATGACAAATCCTTGATCCGTAAGAACCCAAATTGTTCCCATCAAAAGCACTCCAGCTTCTGAATTAACATATTAGAGAAAGAAAGTTTTTGAAAAGTGCTTACGGAGTCGTGGCAATGGAGAAGCCAACAGTGAACAAGGGGTGTGACAAGCATTCGTACCAATGGGGTAGGAGAGAGGAAGAGAGACCGCAAGCGCTAGAGAAAGAGAGTAACCGTTGTGAAACTGCACACTGTAAATGCCTGTATATTTTGTATCAGAAATAACTGTGTGAAATATGAATGTGGTCTGTATTTGAATTTTATAGAGTATTTTAAATTATGATTTAAAATATTTTATGGTTTAAAGTATGTATTTATTTAAATATGTCAAACTTGTTGTATTCACATGTCAGTATAATGTTTGACAATAAATGTGTTTCTACTTATCTCTGTGTATGTAAGTGTAGTGGCAATTCAATTATATTTTAATAAATAATACTTGCCTGAGGATCAGAAAAGTAAAACAGTCACACTGGTCAGCCTTATAGATGAGGCAAAAATAACACACACCTTTAATGCCAGTAGCCACACTAGTTGCCATAGAAACCTTTAATCCCAGTGGTGCACCCCTTTAATCCTAGCCCTAGAGAGGATTATGAAATGGGAGGAAACAGCTCTCAGACACACAGTCTTATTCTGAGATCCCTGGAGGCAGGATTGCCATTTTCGGTCTGAACCAGTGGCTGACTATTTTACTTTTCTGACCTTCAGGTTGAACCCCAATTTCTCTCCCTGAGTTTTTATTAATTGTGTATCATATAAGCCTTCTTAACATTTTAATTTCGGGGCTGGAGAGATGGCTCAGTGGTTAAGAGCATTGCTTGCTCTTCCAGAGGTCTTGAGTTCAATTCCTGGCCACCACATGGTGGCTCACAAAGATCTGTAATGAGGTCTGGTGTCCTCTTCTGACCTGCAGAAATACACACAGACAGAATATTGTATTCATAATAAATAAATAAATAAATATTAATTTTTAAAAATTCACCTAGATAAAACTCTGTGCGGCATAAAATTTACAAGTTAATTTATTTTATTGATTGATTATGTATAGTTCTGCATTGCCATTATGAATATCTGGAGATTAGAGGACATCTTTGAGGACTTAGCTTTTTCTTTCCACCATGGTCTGGCCAGGCAGGTGCTTTTACCCATTGAACCATCTTGTTGGCACAGAATTCACTCTTTTAAAATGGAATATCAGTCAATCATGTACCTACCTCTGCAGCGTTTCTATTGTTGTAGAATGAAACCAAATAAATAGCAGTTTCTTCACAATATTTTCTCTCCTTCTCATGGCAATATTAATCTACATTCTATCTAGGGATTTGCCCATGCATCACATTTTATACCCACGGAGTACCTTCTGACTTCTGTCTAGCTTTTTCTACTTAGCATACTGTTTTCTATGGTCCTCCATGGTGTAGCTTGCATCAACACTTCGTTCCACTTACAGAGAAATTACATCCTTTGTATGGCTTATTTGAACTGCTGTGAACAATGCTGTTTTGAATGCCTGAGTGCCACAGTTTGTTGTAGGAGTTGCTAGTTAGTTCCTGGCTGCTCATACCAGGGAACCACACAGAAACTATATTATTTGTAATACTGTTTGGCCAATAGCATAATTGTATTTCTAACTAACTCATATCTTAAATTAGCCCATCTTCATTAATTTGTGTATTTCCATGAGGCTGTGGCTTACCAGGTAAAGTTCTGGTGTTTGTGTCTGGCAGGGCTACATGGCTTCTCTCTGACTCCACCTTCCTTCTCCCAACATTCAGTTTAGTTTTCTCTGCCTATCTCTGCTCTACCCAATCACAGGCCCAGAATAGCTTCTTTATTAACCAATGGTATTCACAGCATTCAGAGGGAAAGCTCACATCACTTCCCCTTTTTTGTTTAAATAAAAAGGAAGGTTTTAACTTTAACATAGTAAAATTATGTATAACAAAACAGTAATTAAGCAAGAATTGCAGTTACAATATTTGTATCTACTTTTTTACAAAAAAGAGATATTTGTATTTATCTTTTATCATAACTAAGGAAAACTATAACTATACCTATATATTCTTCAACTCCATCAAAGATTCCAGAAGGATATAATATTACTTAAGTTAACAGAAAGTGCATTGCAAGCATCTTCCAAAACTCTAGAATTGACAGAGACATCTCGCTGCCTGGACAATCATCATCCAAAGTTTTTCTGTATCATTGGGGCATCCAATCTTCAGCCCACAGGACCATAGTATTCAGCAGACTTTTCCATGAAGCAGGAAATTTCAAAGACAGTTTCGCCTATATTGACAGTTTATCAGTCACTTTCTTCTGTATCCTGCAGAATGTCTGGCAGATTCTTTGATGAAGCAGGAACCCTGAAGATCATCTCACCTTTACGCAAGTCATTTCTTCAGCAGTCATTTCTCTGTGGGTCCTGCATGTCCAGTTCATACAACATAGCATAGTATCATGCAGTTCAGGCAAGAACAGTTTCTTACCCAAATGGCTAACCAACTCCATAAGGAGCCTCTTCAGTGCCTATCTTCCGCTTGAAGTAGCTTTGTGCTGCCAGAAGCAGATGTGTCTTGTTGTCATGAAAAGTCCTAAGTTCTTAAACATTTTAAATGGCATGTTCCGTAGTCTTCAAAAGGTTTGAAGAATGCCTATCCATCTGAAATATATGTACATCTAGAAAATCTAACTAACATGACTGTAAGCTTGACTATCTATTATCTGTCAACCTGTATTTCTTAATTATGCATTACATTTTTAAATGAGCTGCACAAACACAATACCTTAATCAAGAGCAGAAATATACATATAACAAAATGACCTTAAATTTATATCAATAAACAAAGAGCCATACCAATGTAAATCTCTATAGCATATCCTTTAAATGTAAACAAACATTTATAAACAATCAAATAGGGAATGTGGACACAGTTCCTTCCAAACTACTTTTTGCTGTTTTGGGGAAGAGTAATTTTTTGAGATGTGTTCAAGGCGACCTTTCAGGGGATTTTGTTCCATCAAACTGCATTAGTCTGGAAGGATTCCATAGGTTCTCATCTTCTGCGGAAACAAAAGCAGATCTTCTTTTTCAAAGCTACATATCCTTAGACACAAATTTTGAAGACAAGATACTTTTAAAGTATATATGCTTGTTACTTAGCTCCTTCACAGTTAAAAATTTCAAAGAAAACACAATAATATATATAATCTAGACTCTCTGTATTTTTCATCTTTACATGGATTATTTGCTTTTACTTTATTACTTTTTTAATATTTATTTTATTATCTTTACTCCTTTAATCTATGACTGTATGTGCTGTCTCTTTAAAGTCTTTGTTTTTTAAAACCATTATTTTTTAATAACTCTCTATACACTGTTTATTCTCTCTCCCAAGCCTACGTACATTTACTCAACGTTGTGACTCGTTTAGAGTTCTTTTATGTCTGAATCTGTCCTATCGCATATCTGTAATTCTTTTCTGTCCAGGAGAGTTTCTTAAAATGCTAAGTGCATTTAAGGTTGCTTTGTCTTTTGGCTCTGCCTAGTCCAACACGGTGGGGCAGAGGTCTGTTTAGTGTGAGCTATGATCACATGTGCCCCATTTCTAGGCACTTTGCGGGTATATGTTGTCATTAAGCAAGTTGTAGAACTCTGCTCACAAACCCCATTTAAATGGTTGGCCTCCTGAAAGAGCCAGAGTTCATACTGGCAGCGTGGTCCAGAAAGCTGCCATTTTAAAACCACGCAGCTTTTTTTCTGTTACTACTGAATCAGGAAAACCTCTCTTAAGGGAGCAACAGCATGCCGCCAGCTGAAAAAATGCAGTTAAACTACATTTTTCTGTGTCTAGAGTTTCTTTCCAATCTTTCTCAGGTTTTACGGGGATGTAGTCAGCTCCATGTTGGGCACCAATTTGTTGTAGGAGGCCACTAGCTAGTTCCTGCCTGCTCAGTCTGAAATAGCCACACAGAAACTATACTATTTGCAATACTGTTTGGCCAATATTTTAAGCGTATCTCTAGGCAACTCATAACCTAAATTAACTCATCTCCATTAATCTGTGTATTGCCACAAGGCTGTGGCTTACTGGGTACAGTTCTGGCGTCTGTCTCTGGTGGTGCTACATGGCTTCTCCCTGATTCCTCCTTCCTTCTCTTAGCATTCAGTTTAGTTTTTCCTGCCTATCTCTTCTCTACCATAACACAAGCCCCAAACAACTTCTTTCTTAACCAATGGTATTCACAGCTTACAGAGAGGAATCCCACATCTCCATCCCCTTTAGCATTTTTCTGTAGGAAGGTCACATAGGATCTCTTCTGTTTTTAGAGGAACCTTCCTGCTTTCTCCCGAAGAGGCTGTTTTACAGTCACACCTGCAATGAGAAGGGCTCCAACTTCTTCATGTTCTAATTAATACTTCCTATTGTCTCTCTTAGGTCATCACTATTCTAGTGTGCATATAGTCTCTTCTGCCAATACCAAAAGATATCCAAACATGTTAATAGTATAAAACATCACCAAGACCAAGGAAACAACTTTGCTGTCTGCTAGTCTTAGTTGCTGTTATTCAAGAAGGTTTACATTAATTTGCACTGAAGATTTAATTATCCCCAGGACCATATTCACAATGATGTTTTCCCCTATTAATACATGTTTTTCCTATTACTGTAGGATTAATGCACAGGCCTGATATGGACAGACCTTATCCAAACTTACTTCATTTTACCCTGGTCTAGAATGATGGTAATCCTGATTCTCAAGCTTTGGGCTCTGAGCTGAATTATATCATTGGGTCTTCTGGTCCTTCACTTGCATTTATGCTTGTAACTGGAGGTTTCTTTCCTACCTACCAGTTCCTGAATAACCACTCTGAGGCTCAATATTAATGATAAATGCTTTGCTGATGGTTCAGGCTTATTACTAGCTAGTTCTTACAACTTAAATTAACCTATTTCTATTAATCTATGTATTGCCACATGGCCATGGCGTTATCTCATTTTCTACATGTCTTGCTTCCTCAGCGGCTGGCTGGCATCTTCCTGACTTCACCCTTCTTCACCTGTATCTCTGCTTAGATTTTTATTCCTGGATCTATCCAGCCTTTCCAAATGTTAAAACTTCTTTATTTATCAACCAATAAGAACAACACATATTCACGGCATACAGGATCCCACAACAAATACTCTCCTGTTTCTCAGTCATTGTTTCAATCTATTAATCTATTGATGGAGCTGTTACACCCATGAACCCACTGTAGGCATTGCTATCTGCACATGTTCAAGCCAGGAAGATCAGCTAACATTCTTACCTGCAGC